CAAGTAATTCGTCGTTACTAAAGACACGCATTTCTCAACTGCTCTAAAACAGTAAAACAGGACTGGCCCATAATGGACCGGGCCAAAGAACTTGGTGGAGCAGGCCAATTTATATTTTGTTGTTATTTGATGATTTGATGTGCAGAGGCCAAAAAAGATAATAAAATATGAAATTCCTATTACCTCATCAGTAAGCGTAAGCTTAATGTTACACGGCACATGAAAAAGAGAGACATAACGCTGATTTGCAGTCGGATTGGAATAAGCTTCGATTTCAACAATTACTAACAGATGTAACTCTTTTTATCGTAAAATGCCAAACTTTACATAACTTTGAATTTCCACAAATACCCTTTTCACCATCATTACCCATTGCTGCTTTAATTTGGTGGATGAAAGATGTTTCTGAAAATTTCCAGCCGTTATATGTATGTATATGTATATAATATTAATAATCCCCTGTGTGGATTGTGTGAGTTGAGTACTTTTGACTAGGCCAGCTTAGTACAGTAATCCACTAGTGAGTTGATTAGGTGTAATAGGAGGAGGAGAGTGGCCTTGGTTTTTGAGATTTGCAGAGGTCTTTGGAATTTTCCTATTGATCCGACAGAGAACTTCGGTTACAATTCATCACGGTTTAATGAATCGGTTTTGCTTGTGAACCACAACGCTGGCAAATTAATTTATTAATTTTGAAAAAAAATATTTATCTTTTAATTAAGGAAATCTAGTTATTCTCAATTTAACTGCGGTAAATTTAATTATGTCAAAAATATGTTCACCTAATTTAGTATGAATTATTAGTTTAATTAGCCACCGCTAAATTAATTATCTCAAGAACATATATTTTCAAATTCATTAGATTTATTCTCACATATAAAGAGACATAGGCACAAATTCTCTCTTCATCTCTGTAACTCTCTCTTTCAGACAATCCAAAAATCTCTTCCCCTACGGCCTCACTCATTCCCCAAGAGCTCTTTTTTTTTCACATCATTGATCGTGAGTTGTTTTATCGGCTGGTTATCACATTCATGCAAGGCCCAACTGAATCTATGCTGGTTATGGCCTTCTGGTTCGGACTTGAAGAGAAATGTATACCTAGTATTATCTATAAGATGTGTTCGATATTGGACCATGTAGTCAATCTTCTAGCTGATGAAGCCGCTGCCTGCATTAATTGCCTGGAATCCAACAATCCTCCTTCCCTAGTTGCCGATGGTGGCATGCCTCTCACTGATAAATTTTTTGGCACCGACATTTCTTTCATGTCAATTTACCAACAAAAATACACTGTCATTAATGAAATCAAGAACTTCCTCAGCTCCGTTTGCTCTCGAATCTTCCCTGACCTTCTCTACCTCGTGTTGGGAAATCACCGTTTTGTAAGTCTTAACCAGTCTTTCGTTATTCCCGATTTTTCTCATCCAACTTTTAGTGTAGTCCATGTGATGCCAAGAGCTTGCGATAATGGGTTGCCCAACAGAGGGATTTGACCCTGGCAACAACGTTACAAAAAATGACAGAACCTTGTTTTTGACTTTTTTTCGAGGATTTCCAGTGACGGCAATTGAAATCGCGGATATTTTTTTCAGGACTTTTGGTGCTAATTTTGTTGAAATTGTGATTATGCATGACAACATTCAACCCCATAAACAACATTTGTTTACGAAGCTTGTCCTTCACTCGGTTGAGCAAGTTTATATCATTTTGAGTGGTTGTCGAATTGCAAAGTTCAAGAATAATGGAAAGCATATTTGGGCTCGCAAGTACGAGAGTCAAGAGTAATTGAAAGATAGTCTATGTGTTCGTTGATATATACATGTACTCAACATTTAAAGATATAACATTAATAGTACTGCTGTATTGATCAGTGCATATCATGCTTGAATTTCACAGTTATCATATAATAAAACGGATATCATGTGAAATAAAAGTTAATAGTTTATTCAAATTGATTCTCCATGTTATTTTTCAATGTCTATTTGCTAAGAAAAATATTTATTTATCTTGATTTTTAAGTGTTTCAGTCATTTTCATTCTTTTTGGTTTGCAGATCTAGGTTTAGATATTTTAAATGGTTGAAAGCAGCTTGGCTTTACGCTGTACTTATCAACAATTTATAATGACTACCTTAGTGAATTTCATATTCATTCGTGTTAAAATATTTATTTTTAGAAGTTTTAGCACACATAATCCACAATGAAGTATAATATTTTTGAAAGCTATAATGATGGGTCGTCATTATTATGCAAAAAAATATATTTTTATAGATAGTACACATATCATTTCAAAATATTAGATTTGTACAATGATTGTCTTTTTATCGTTGCTCAAAATCATTAATATTCTACATTCTTATAAAGAAGCGACAAAAAGTGAAGAGCTAATCATTATATATGTAAAGCCAATCATTATGAAAAACCAATCATTGTACAAAATTACTAGTATTTTATATTTATATAAAGAAGCGGCAAAAGATAAAGAAACATTCATTGTATATGCAACACACACTTTAAATATTGAATGATAAACTTAAAAATTCTCGTGTGAATAAAAATCTAGTGACTTTTTTTTTGTTTTCTTTTAATTTCAAAATTAGTATTTTATTGTGTTAAAGTACACATATGTATTTGAAATTTTAGTACACATAATCAACAATGGTTATTATATTTTTGAAAATTCTAACAATGGTTCACCATTATTATGGTAAAAAATGTATTTTTATAAATAGTACACGCGTTGTTACAAATTTTTAAATTTGTACAATAATTATCTTTTTGGTATTGTTCGAAATTATTAGTATTCCATATTCGCATAAAGAAACGATAAAAAATAAAAAACTAACCATAATATATGTAATGTGAATATTGAAAATTAAATGATAAATTTAAAAATCCTCATTCTAAAGAAAATCTAGAGACTCTTTTTATATTTTTATTTTCTTTTAATTTTAAAATTAGAATTTTATTCTGTCAGTAAATAAATATTAACATGAAATATATATGATTACTTCAATATATACATGAGTTCTTTCTTAATAGAAACAATATGCATATAGAATATAGAAGAAAAATACTATAATTACTATAACAAACATTATTAATATAATATGTAACTTAAAAATAACCGGCCAAGGAAAGGGTTTTATATGTTATTTAGGGTTTAAATTGATATAAATGCTGTGATATATATACTAATCCTTACATCCCTCCCATGCTTGAAAAAATATTGTACTTACGTGTGATGATTTTCTTTTAAAAAATTCAAAGAAATGTAAGTATTATATTCTTATAATTGATTTATGGTGATTTTACATAATCTTATGGGTCAATTGCCTCATAATATATCTTAACGTCTAAATTATTTTTAAGATTACCAAAATATAATTTTAAATAAAAAAAGAAGAAAAAAGAATTCAACAAAGTTTAATAATACAATATACATCAATAATCCAAGATCTCTCGTACCATACTAATTATTCACCCAATAATAAACAGTGAGCTTTCTTTTGATACCCTGTGGTGTGTACTAACCCATTCAAGACCTACACGGGCTTGGGCTAAGTTTGAGGAGACATTAGGGCCTAGCACATATAGATATGATTCTATATATATTGTTTTTCATACATTTAGAACATGTAAATATGATTTGAAGAGATTTACTGATAGGAGTCTATTTATTCTCTTAATTTAAGTGCCATAGAGAATTGAAAATAGAAGAATGCATTAGAAAGAAAAAATGAACACACTTTGTTTGAAATACTTTATCCAAAACTTTCTCTTATAACTTTGTATTTCAACTGAGAATATATCTATGCATGTATTATTTATCTGATTATCTATAGAAATCTCGAAATAAATAATGTAGAACTCAATATCAACAATGTATTTTGAATTAGATTCATCATAGTTCTTTCTTCATATGGACTTTGCTCACTTTGGATTGGATCATTCCTTTCTTTCTTATCACATGAATCTTCCTTCGAACGTGTTTGGTTCTTTGGAGCTTCCTTTGGGTAACCCAAATTGTGGCCTTCAAGGTTTCAAGTGTCCAAACTATGACTTTCTTAACTTGGTTGGTTTTTTAAATAGTTTAAGTCATCTATACTCACATCAGTAAGTCCTTCACACCCACTCTTCTCTAGTTTATCTGCTCAAAATGACCCTTAAAATATTTCTCTCCTTTAAGTTTCCCAATGAAGAGGGTGGATAAAGACACATAAAAACCTCAAGACTACATTGCTTACTAATGGGTGAATTTATAAATATATGAAATTATTCAAGTAATAAAGTGATAAATTGAATATCGTTCTACATAAATTGCATATCAAATCTCAAAATTATAAAAATTATATTATTATCTAGCAATCAAAATTAAATTTATGATAGAAAATTTTTTAAAATAATTTAATCAAATTAAAATAATTAAAATAATATAAATTGTAACGGCTCCGGAAATTTAAATGAAATGTATGTATTAAAAATCTCAAATGCGGAAGCATAATAAAAATTTTGATTAACATCCCTTACACAATAACCAAAACGTACTCAAAATATGAAGGAACAAACTAATTAAAAGAGATACTCGAAATAAGAACTATAAATATAACTATGAAGTCTTTAAGCGTCCCCTTCGCCGTCTTCCTGCGGAACGGGCTCGGGAACGTCTTCCTGATATGAAATGGTTAAATAAGGAATGAGCTACACCAGCCCAGTAAATACATCACACTATCTCACCGCCACGGAAGTAAAAGTGGGTAGAAAGTAAAAATGACCAATGGAGCATAATTTATAACAAACTCGTTTATCAACATAAAAACTTTTACTGTCCACTTACTTCGGTGAGATCCATGAAAACAACATATGAAAGCAATAACATTATCATCATTATGAAATCATATAGACTTTATAACATAACACTTACCATGCCTTTGCATTTCAATCATTAAACAACATATTTTCCTCTTTTACCAATATACTAGTATCCATGAGGATCCATAGGGGGTCCCCGCTACCCGTGAACCATTAACATTAATAACATGATCCAGGGCCGTCCCCATACCCCGTCTGGTATGGGCGCCAAAATCATGAACTTCCATACCCCGTCTGGTATGGGCGTCAAAATCATGAACCTCAATACCCCGTCCGATATGAGGGTGAAACGGGCCGTCCCCATACCCCGTCCGGTATGAGCGCCAAAACACATAAGGTCTCCATACTCCGTCCGGTATGAGAGACCACGTTCCCGGTAGGGTTCCCTACGGACCCGGTCCGTCCACCATCTCCCAGGATATCTAGTTAGACTGTCCACATTTTCCACTTATCAATTCACATAACCTTTTTGCCTTTTTCTTTAATCTCAATCATCCAATCATACACAACATGTAAACCAGTAATTGACACCAAATAAGACAATACAGTACCGGGTTCACCATAATACAAACTATAATAAAAGAAACCATAGTTCATGCATACGAGACCATAACATAATTACATCAAACATCATGCTGCATTTAATACTGAAAATTAGACCAAACAATAACAGACCAACATTGTATCAGACTCGGGTTCCATTGGCAACCTTAATCAATTATACATCTATAAAGTCCTAAAGTACAATTTAATTATTTATTTAGCTTTAATACCATGATAGGAAATAGGGTGAGGGGTCCTTACCTATTTCGGGGTCTGAATTTGACTCTACAGTGCGCCTACAGGCTGTCCCTAATTTTCCTGAATTTTTTCTCAGGAAACTGAAACGCATTACCGGTACCTGCACGTGTCCCAAAAAATTTCAAATCAGACCTAGGGCCCCTTTCGGCCAATATCGCAATTCCGGCACGGTGGCTCCGCCGTGGTCCGGCGTCGGCGCTACTGCTTGCGACGGTGATTCGCCTCGGGTTGGCCGTTTTTGGCTATTTTCGGTCGAATTCGGCCACACTTGCATCAGTCCCTGCGATAAAACAACCCTAGGGCACTCGGTGGGCCAAAAAATCACGAAAAACTGAAACTTACCGGCGGCGGTGCTCTCGGGTAAGGCGGCTCCTCCGCCGTGAGTTGTGTTTTGATGTTTGGCTCAGATCAACCTGTAGAGAAAAGAACGGTGATCACAGTGGTATAAACTTTGCATCAAACGGAGGTCGGGAAGGGCCTCATTTGAGGTAAAAACCGAAGAGGGGCGCGGCGGCGTCGCTGTGCTTCAGCTGGGTTTTATCGGCCGTTTGGCCGGTGG